GTTGTTTGTTTGAAAGGAAACTTTGTCCCAGAGGTCAGCTGTGCAGCGATGGTGAGTTTATGACTCCACATTCAAACTAGACAGAAGAACATCGTCAGCTGGGTGGTTTTAGAATAAAACCAGTCGTAGTCTGAGCCAAAAGCATGCACTAATATTCAATTTGGGTTTTAAAGTCTTGAACAGATTTTGTAAAAATGATGATTCTTTAAAGCCATGAATGCAAGTTTTTCATATTTTAAATCATTTCCTTGAACCGGTGTGTGCTAAAATGACCCTTTACAGGGTTAATGAAATGTCACTCAGACCCCCACCATCCTCTATGTCCAGAATACCATATTATACATACTATATTAATTATACTTCAGAGCTTCCAGCACATTTTAGATCATGAACATCTGATTTGTTTCATTTAGTGATGAACCACTCCTGTAGACACTAATGAAGGCTGAGGAGACGTTTCAGTTGTTAGATTAGGTGTAAAAAAGACAAACACATTTCCTTTTGCTTTGCCCACAGATAATTAATAATGGACACTAGGGGGTGCTAAAAGCAAGCAACACTTGCCAGGTATCCCTTCAACTAAATCATGTTTATTTCACTTTTCCTGAATCCTCTGGATCCATCAACACATCTGTCAAAGGGTTTTCTCTGCTGCTGCCTCCAGCATCACAGAACCATCTGAAACAAAACCAGGCTTGTTGGTAACGATCCACAGGAAACTGAAAGCTCCTGCCAACCCCCTGTCCATCAAAACGATGAGGGCGTGAGCACAGAAATGCTGCGTTATTGATGGCAAGTTTTCTATCCAGAGGTAGAAACATTCAGACTCAGGTTCTGATTAAACTGGTTCCTATCAGAGTTAAATCTCCAGTATATCTAAAGTAAACCCGCATCCAGGTTTTCACGTGTCAGCCATAAAACAACACGACATAACACCTGGTTCAGGTGCTCCAGCTGTTTCTGATCCACAGAAAATGATTAGAATCAGAGCCATTTGAGTCTTAGTTAATAGAAGACACTGAATTTGTTGCATCCAGACATTTACTTTATATTACTTATTTAAATATTTGTTAAAACTATTTATAAGGTGGATGCATTTTTTTTTACCTAAAAACTATCAGTTTGGGTTAAACTACAGAAAAGTTTAAGGATTGGAAATTTAGTCTAGAGTTTAATAAATAGATTGACGTGAGCACTACACTTCAATAACTGTAATGTGGGGGGGGGGGGGTGCTGCAATACGATGAAAGGGAGAGGGTGGCGATGAATTGACAGAATAAAAAGAAGAGAGAGAAAGAACCCAACCAACGTAAACAAGGCCTTCCCCTAGACCAATCACAGCCGTTTCGGCCATCTCCATGACAACAGTGACATCATTCGCCTGACGACCGTGTGTCTCCCTCATGTGTTTGTTTGACGAGAGGTGGGAGAGAGGTGATGACTCACCAAGGCCTGCGGACCGCAGTGTGTGTGTGTGTGTGTGTGTGTGTGTGTGTGTGTGTGTGCGCGTGTGTGTGTGTGTGTGTGTGTGTGTGTGTGTGTGTGTGTGTGTGTGTGTGTGTGTGTGTGTGTGTGTTGGATCGTTCATGTGAAATGACTGATCCTGAGAAACTCATCCTGCAGAAGTGTAAATTTTTTTAATCATAGGATTTAAACCACTTATTTTAAATCTGTGACATCATAAAGAGCAGCTTTAGAGAACACAGCCAGTTAAAAATTAAAACAAAAGAGAACATCTGACAACTTCTGATCAAATCTAAATCAGTGTGACAATGTTCCAGCAGCCTCTCTGTGACACCATGGCGACAGACTTTCATGTCGTTGCCGGTTCCAGGAAGCGTTTCTGTTTCATTTCTCTGAACAACGTTACGGTTTGTAAAGGTTCCAGGTCGGCGTCTGCCTGCTGCTGTTATCAGGAAGTAATCTAAGGTTCACCTTCAGCAGAGCAGACCTGTTTTGTCTGTTCTATGAATCAAGAAGATGCCATCACCAGTTTAACCTCATCCCACATTTTAATAAAGGGGATGTTGTATTTCTCTCAGCCAGAATAATTTTATCATTTCAGAATTGTCTTCTTTTTAATGATTTCAGCTGTGCGGGTCTACCTCGAGTGTTTTGGTTTTGGGTGCATGTGTTTCTCCTGCAGGCTGATAAAGGTCTCCTGGAAGCTGAGCCACCACAGCTGAAGCTTCAGTGGAAGCAGGAGAAACTATTCCTGTGTGAGTGTGTGCGTTGTCGGTTTCTGTGCAGATGGTTTGTTTGGACAGTGCCAGGTTCCAAACCAGGAGCCTGTCCAGTACCAGGTGTCTGTTCCAGTTCTGCATAAGCTGCAGGAAGTTCTCAAAGACCTGATGGTGCAGGGTGAGTGTCTGAACAGTGGCAGCGCCTCCACCCCACCTGCTGCTCATCACGCTTAACCAAGTCATCTGAACCTTCAGGCCTGACCTGGAAGGACGATGTGACCCAGGCCATCATCGGGCGAGAACTTAGCCACGTTCCTACTGTTGGTTCTGGACTTCAGGAGAAATCACCCAAACAGTATGAAAAGTGTGGTTTACTCGTCTTTTTGAAAGATGGCTTTGAGATCCTGAACTGTTTGATTTGTCAGGTTGTCCAAGCTCACGGGTCCTGGTCCACAGAAAGATCTAGGTCCTGGAGATCCAGCAGATCCAGAAATGATGCAGCAGTACCTGGACTACATGGTCCTGGACCCGTCCAGGTCCTCGGTCCACATGCAGACGCCCCTGTTGGACTCATACACCTACCACAAGGTAGAGGATGAATCTGGTGGATGGAAGTAAACACCTGTTGTGTCTTTTCCAGATGTGCTTACCTCCTGTGACCACTTCCTGTTGTGTCTCTGACGCTGCAGCAGCAGCAGTTTGGCTTCCAGGATGAAGAGGAGCGCTCCCTCAACTCTCTGGATGATAATCCAGCTTTCCCCCCTTCCACATCCAGAGGAAACGCTCTAGACCAAGACCGACAGCTTCTACAGGACCTGGTCTCCTTGTACCTCACCTCTCCTTCCTCGTCCTCCTCTTCTTCACAGTCTCTGCCTCGCCTCAGGGGAGCAGTTTCTCCAGGCCTCCCCTCCTCCTCCTCCTCCTCTTCTTTGTTCCCTGAGCTAGACTTCCCTCTGGACTACAGGGAGGACTATGTTTCCCAGGTCAGTCAGCTCAGGAAGCCACCGCCATCACAGCAGCAGCAGCAGAAGAAGAAGACGGAGTCAGCGTTTGACATCCTGTCAGGACTGGATGGTGAGTGATGAGGGACAAACAGAAATTCCTTTGTTTTCGTTCTATGGTTTTGTGTTTCTGTTGTTGTTTTTTCTTTACTCTTTCTCTCTTTAGGACTCAAACACCATCTCTAAACCTTTTAACAGGGATGCACTGATGCCAGTGTTGGTATCGGCACGATGCAGCGTGTGTTGCTTAGTACTCTTTAACCGCCCGATACCACACAGCTGGATTCTGATCATTTTGTTCCACCATGATGTATCTGCCATCCGATCAACACCATGATATTGGTGTTGATCGGATGGCAAAAGTGGCGGCTTTTTTTTTTAGACAGTTTAGTCTGACTTCTACTGGTTCAAGCCCAGTTCACTTGTGGGAATATAGCAGAGCCAGGTGGGGCTCACAGGGAGCGCTGTTTACAAAAGTTACTGCTTACGAACATTAGCTTATGAACATTAGCTTACGAACATTAGCTTATGAACATTAGCTTACGAACATTAGCTTACGAACATTAGCTTACATTCTCCCTTCTGCTATTCGCCAATTTTATGAAGTTTCTGACTTTGGCAGAGTTCACCCCGCTGGATTTGTAACATCATGTGATAAATGAAGTCCACCTTACACTGAAACTGGTTTTAAAAGTCTGGATCTCTGCCGGTTTTTTGTCTGTGTCGATGTCATCACAGATGATTGGCTGAATTATGTAAGTTGGTTGAGACACCACGTTCGTGAAAGTTACGTCAGCACGTTGACACTGAAGGTTTTGCAGTGGCGCAGTGGTTAGAGCTGTTGCCTTGCAGCAAGAAGGTCCTGGGTTCGCTTCCCGGCCTGTGATCTTTCTGCATGGAGTTTGCATGTTCTCTCTGTGCATGCGTGGGTTCTCTCCGGGTACTCCGGCTTCCTCCCACAGTCCAAAAACATGACTGTTAGGTTAATTGGTCTGTCTAAATTGTCCTTAGGTGTGTGTGTGTGTGTGTGTGTGTGTGTGTGTGTGTGTGTGTGTGTGTGTGTGTGTGTGTGTGTGTGTATGATTGTTTATCCTGTGTGTCTCTGTGTTGCCCTGCGATGGACTGGCTCTCTGTCCAGGGTGCACCCCGCCTGATTGCCCGTTGACCGCTGGAGATAGGCCCCAGCCCCCCGCGACCCTGCGTGGACAAGCGGGTTCAGAAAATGGATGGATGGATTTGCAGTGGCAGATTTAGCAATTTGGAGGCCCAAGGCGAACACAGACATGGAGTCCCTTACACTAAATTTTCAACACTCTTATCTTTAACTGGATTTGTGAAACTCTCCCCTCTTCTGACATGATTTATTTTCACTTTTTATTAGTCCTCCTCTTTTTTCTTGTCTTTCTCTCTCAAAGGGAGTGCTTTCTTTTGAGTGCTTTCTTTTTCCTGTTAGTGCTCCTGTGCTTTTGCCTTTCTTTTTTTTCTTCTATTTTCCATTTTGGTCTATGTTTTCCTCCCTTTAAACATTTTCCATTGTCTTTCCTTTCTGCTTCCTTTGATGTTTACATAGAAGAACGACGTCACTTTCAGAAGTGAAGATAAAAGCTTTTTTGAAGCAAGTTGCTTCTTTCTCTTATTGGAGCCACTAGGATAACTCCAGGAGGAAAAGATGAAGGTGTGTCCAAAGATACAGGCCATAGATGGCCCCGAGCCAATCTGGAAGCCAGAGCAGATCCGGGTTCAGCTGCCACCCTCAGACCGAGCGGAGATAGATCTCTCATATCGACGAAGGTCATTGTGCTAAAAAAATGGGTCCTCTTTTGTTTGCCATTTATCTGCCACCTCTGGGGTCAATCTTTCGTAAACATGGCCTATCATTCCATGCTGACGATTGCCAGATTTACTCTCCATTGTGTCAGGAGAAAGGTCACTCTATCCAGTCCTTTGTGTCCTGTATTAACGAGGTGAAGTCTTGGCTAATGGCCAACGTTCTGCATCTGAAAGAGGGAAAGACAGAGCTCATTGTTTTTCACCCCAACAGCAGGAATGTGGGTCGTTATCAGAATCAGAATCAGAAAAGCATTATTTATCCCCGAGGGGCAATTAAAAAAAATAACAGCAGAGCAGCATGATGTAGGACATACAAACATTGAATAAATAGGCAATAAGGAAGTAATAAAGTAGCAAGAAGATAGATAAAACAGTAAAATATGCACACACAAAAAAAACACAGAGTAAGTGAATAAAGTGGCTAAAGTGTCGTCTGTATAAAAGTTAAATATATGGAGAGCCCAAGGAGAGGGTTTATCGGGGGATGGTCTTATCTGCTGGAGTTAAAGAGCAGAATGGCTTTGGGGACAAAGGTGGCACTTCTCCTCTCAGTCTTACAGGAAATGCAGCGTAGGCGTCGCCCAGAGGGGAGCCATTGAAATGCGGGGTGAAGAATGTGAGAGGGGTTGTGGAGGATTTTGGGTGCCTGTCTCAGGACTTGTTGATAGAAAACCTGAGCAAGAGTTCTGACAGGCAGGCCAACGGTTTTGGAACACACTGATGCAGTGTGCTGCAGTCTGTTCCTGTTCTGGAGGCTAAGGGAGTATGTTGATCTTGGCCCTCTTTCTCCCTTCTCAAAACCAGTTATTACCAGTTTGGGGGTGAAAATTGATGCTGGACTTAAATTTGATACTCACATCAACTCAGTGATCCGGTCCAGTTTCTTTCACCTAAGACGCCTTGCAAAAATCAAGCCCATGCTGTCGATAGCCTACCTGGAGCGGGTACTGCATGCATTTGTAATTTCTAGGCTTGATTACTGCAACTCTCTATATGCAGGGTTGTGTCAGTCATCACTGCGTCGCCTACAGGTTGTGCAGAACAGCGCAGCCAGGTCCCTGACTGGGACCAGGAAACAGGACCACATCAGTCCGGTTCTGACCTCCCTGCACTGGCTTCCGGTTTGCTATCGTGCAAAATCCTCGTCTTTGTTTACAATTTCTTCCAGGGTGGTGCTCCCCCCTATCTAGCCACACTCCTGAACAGACATTCCCCATCACGCGCTCTGCTCTCCTCTGACCAAGGCCTGTTCGCTGTCCCTCGTTCTAGGTGTCGTACTCGCAGGGACCGGGCTTTCTCAGTCCTAGCACCGTCACTCTGGAACCAGTTGCCACCCTCAGTTATGCTGTCCCCATCTCTGCCAGTCTTCAAGAGTCGCCTAAAAACACACCTCCTCCGCTTGGCGTTTCCTGAACATGTTTAATTCGGCCCTCTTTTACGTTGAATTTATTTCACAGTTTTCATTGGTTCACTCTATCCATTGTTTTACCCATCTGTCCTGTACCAGAATGTTTCACGTACCTTTTTTGTAATTTGTAATCTGTAATTTGAATTGCGTTTATTTTTGATTTATTCAATAGAATTACTTTCAACTGAACCATGTTCAGCGCTTTGAGCTTCCTGACAGGGTTGCGGAAGGCGCTTTATAAATAAAGCTTTGATTGATTGATTGAAATAATGCAATTTTTACAGTAAAGACAAAAATGTAAAAATGTTAGCTGAAAATCCACAAACACAGTGACCGCTGCTCTCCATGCCCGTCTTGTCTCCATCAAAGCTTTTCGATATGAAGGCAGGTTGGGTTTACAGTCTGTCTGTTAGTGCAACCAACTGTGCAGCAAGCCATTACCTTTTACGGTAAAAGAAAAAACAGTAAAAGGTTACAAACTAGCTTGCTGTGGACTAGCTTAACAGAGTTCTAATGGACGTAAACAGTCTCTTTCATATCCACCGTGGCGAAAGAGGCGTTCCCATGAGTAGCATGATGTTGCATGCTAAGGGTCAAAGGGCGAATATTCCAGCAGAGTAAACTGCACGAATCCAAGCCACATAAAATAGAAGAACAAGAACAAAGTAACCAGATTAAGGCTGGGATGTTGTGGATTTGAGGCAAACTGGTGAACACCCAGATGGGCTTCGTTTCTGCTGGTGCCCTGAGGCTGTGACACGTGCTGCTGTGTTGTGTCAGATGTTCTTCTGAGAGTGATTCTGTCAGCCCTAGAAAATCATCATATACTAAAAAGTGAGCAGTTTTCTTCCAGAAAATGTTCCTATGAAAATAAAACTTTCTAGTTATTTGCTAGGAGTGTGATGGCCTTTGTTAGTCCTCACACCAGTTTGTTTTTGCCTGCATCTTTGTGCTTTATGGTTCTATTTGCTCAGGGTTAATGTTGCTTTGGGTTAGTTTTTTGTGAGTGTTGTTTTTGATTTGTTCGTATTTTTAGTTTAATTTGCAGTGAGTTGCTCTGTTTATGTAAAACATAATCCCCCCCTTCCATCTGTTTTATCTCAGGCTCCATTTGACTGTATGTTTGTGTCATTTTCAGTTTTATTTACATTAAAAGCACAGCAGTCTAGTAAAATCTCAGGTTCTCTGTGTCACACTGCTAAGTAAGTAAAAGTAAGTAAAACTTTATTTATATAGCACTTTTCACAGATAAAATCACAAAGTGCTTCACAACACACATAAAAAGGCAAAACAGGACAGGAGCACAAGGTCAACTTACATAAAAGCTTGTCTAAATAAAAGTGTCTTCAGCTGCTTTTTATAAGAATCAACAGAGTCGGCCACACGAAGAAACAAGGGCAGGGTGTTCCAAAGTCTGGGAGCTACAGCTTGAAAGGACGAGTCCCCTCTAGTTTTAAATCTGGTCTTAGGGACCTTCAGCAGGTTTTGACCCGAGGACCGTAAAGTGCGTCCAGAAGAGTTAAAAGGTTTGATTAATATTGTGGAGCTTGTCCATTAAGAGCTCTAAAAGTCAAAGCTAAACTTTTAAAATCCATTCTAAACTTGACCGGTAGCCAATGTAAAGAAGATAAAACTGGTGTTGTGAGCCCTTCTATTGGTTCCTGTTAAAAGCCTTGCTGCAGTGTTCTGGACCAACTGGAGACGACTGACATCTGATTTGTTTAAACAAGTAAAGATAGAACTACAATAATCTAAACGAGAAGAAATAAAAGCATGGATAATCGTCTCCAAGTCCGATTTTGAAGTAAAAGCTCTCAATTTGGAAATGTTTCGCAAATGATAAAAGCAGTTTTTTACTATTTGTTTTGAGTGGCAGCTCAAAGACATGGACTGGTCAAAAAGAACACCAAGGTTTCTGAGACTGGTCTGGACTGAGGAGCTCAGGGAACCGAGGTGTTATTTGATTAAAAGCATGTTCTGTTCAGGAGCAATGATCAGTGTTTCAGTCTTGCTTGAGTTCAACTGAAGACAGTTACTGGCTAGCCAGTCCTTAATACGCTCAATGCAATCAAGTAGATCAGCTAACTTGTTAAACTCTGTGTTCTTGAAAGAGCAGTACAGTTGAATGTCATCTGCATATAAATGGTAGGACACATTAGTAAAGCTTTTAATAATCTCCCCAAGAGGGCAAATATATAAAAGAAACAAAATTGGGCTAAGGACCAAGCCCTGGGGAACACCGTGAAGCAAAGATGTGACTTCAGACCTAATCTTGTTTTCACATAAAGAGAATGTTCTGTTATTTAAATAGGAAGAAAACCACTTCAGAACCATACCAGAAAATCCTAAGGACATCTGTGGACTCCAGACTCGTACACCACCAGAGTGTGAATGAACGTGTGAATGCATAATGGGTCTTTGGGACTCGATATATAAGAACCCAGTTTGTTATAATTATTAGTATGGTGACTTTTTTTTTTTTACATTTGTACCTTTTTCTTTGAGACAAATCTATTTATGTTTGAATCATTCACACTTTTCTACCTTTTTACTGTATGTTGTGTTTTCAGAGCGCTCTCTGCAGAGACTCGCTCTGCTGGCCGACCACTACGGCCTGGACATGAAGGACTTGTCTCCGGAGCAGAAGGACGACCTGCCAGCAGCTCTGACGCAGCTGCAGAACTCCTACGCCTCCAAACAGAGCAAAGGTTTGTCCGGCAGAGCTGCAGAAACCTTAGTGCTTTCATGTTTGAGTGTTCTGAATCGAATCACTGTCGCATTTCATGAATGATTTTGTTTGTTTATTTATCAGATAAGTCTGTGGACAACGCTGCCTGGAAGAAGGTGGGGACGTCTCAAATAACAGTTTAGTGATTCAGATGGAGTTTTGCTGTGTTGAAGCAAAGAGACGCTTTATTGAGTTAAGACCATTGTGTTTAATTTATTTATTATCCAAAAGGATAATCTTGTTATAAAGCCTGAGGTGGCTCCTGTTTGCTTCGGCAAACAACGACTGCATTCTGAGCATTTGATGTATTTCATTTGACAAAAGGACAATGGTAGTTTCAGCAGTTTTCCTCTCCTGATTCCTTTCAAAATTAGTGCACAGGGTGACAAGGTAGGCTGTTTGTTTTGCCCTTTCAGGTCCAGAGTGAACTAAAGAGTTTCAGTTTCTTACCAAGATATGTTTGAAATGCATACGTCTTCAAACTCAAATAGATTTTGATCTTCTGCGAACTTTCTAAACATGATTTAAAACTTCTGAAGCTCCACCAACAGCTGAATCTTACTTCATAGACATTTAGTCCCCTTGTCTCCATCCATCAGGGCACAGAGAGTTCAAAGGCCTATAAAACTGGATTTGAGAAGGCTTCACTCCCAGCTGCCAAACCAGATGGAGGATCAAAGGAGATGACTCCTGTTGAGACAGCCAATCAGGACAGAGGAGGACAGAAAGAGACGGAACAAGCAAAGGAGTTTGGATACATCGTCACCAATCAGAGGTAAGATGGCTTTAAGTTCCTGTTTCATCAGCCAATCAGTAGAATGTGTGTGTGTGTGTGTGTGTGTGTGTGTGTGTGTGTGTGTGTGTGTGTGTGTGTGTGTGTGTGTGTGTGTGTGTGTGTGTGTGTGTGTGTGTGTGTGTGTGTGTGTTGTCATCGCAGCCCCCTGAGTTTGAACGATGGGCAGCAGGCAGCAGTGCAGGGGTTCTGCTGTCCTTCTGGTTTTGTGTAGTTTTAACCCCTGTTCGTTTGGATTTGTTTGTGTTTTAAACTTTGGTTGTTTTTTAACTCTTAATGAGAAATTGAGGATGATCCAGTGGGATCTTTTGTGTGCTCAGGTTTTTGTAAAGGTTAACGTGGTTTGTGCAATTTTACTGACTGGTTTTGAACACTTTCGTGTGGGTAAAGCTTTTAAAATAAGTTTTTACCAGGTGTTTTAATCAGTAAATTGTTTGGGACTTTTATCAACTTCGGGCTTATAGAACACCTTCGTTTCGGTAAACTTTTAACATAAGTTTCTCCCAGGTATTTTTATAGTGGATAATTTGTGATGTTAACCTTTTAGAGAGATCTGTTTGCTTGTGTTTTAATACCTTTGGTACGAATAAACCCATTTTAAACTCTGCTGCCAGTTCTTATGTTACCCCCATCCTTCACATTTTTACCAACACATGTCGGGGTTGTAACATAAATTGCTGGAGGTGATGTCGGAGAGGATCGGCCTCTCCTCTGGCTCAATCATCAACATCAGGTAGGTCAGAGGTCAGCAGCAGCATTCCAGACATGACACAATGAACAAAGAAGCTGTGACGGCATATCAGGGTAGTACAACAGTGTCTCCTTTGAATGTGCCATGTTTCATGCAACAAAGTGATGTCGTGATCATGCGCGGAATGTCCACCAGGCCCCGCCGGCACCGGTATTTAAAATGTAAGTGAACACGGGGAGTCCCTTTTGCTTTTGTAAACAGAAGCAACTGAGATGGAAAACTGGAGTGATGCAGAGATCCAGGAGCTTCTGGCCATTAGAGCCGAAGCACAGATCACCAGACAGCTCATGGGGACTGTGAAGGACAGACACCATTTGGAGTGATGCCCAAAAAAAACTTAAGGGGTGTGGCTTCAATCTGAATAAAATAAAACAAGCTAAAAGGATGTCTGTGACAGCGTGTCAACCGTGCAGACATGTAACGTGATGAAGGAGCTATTCCACCGAAGGTTATCTACCCTCTCTCCTCTGATGTCTCTGACACAGAACCGATCTGCATGAGACTGCCTCAAGGTCATGCATTTGCTTCTAAAACTGCTTCCTTTCCAGCTCAAGAGAAGAATGAAGACAAAGGACTCTTTCTATTTTTAACTAAGCTAATCAAACAAAGTGTTAATCAATAATAAGATGTGAACCTATCTATGAAATGACAATGTTATGATTAGTAAGTTTTAATAAGTAATATGACTTTAATCTAGCTGCACTAGACATCCTGATCCACGTAATGTAAACGCATGACACATTTTATCTTTCTCATCCAATCAGAACCTTCCTTTCTGAAGCGTGGCATAGTCTCTGTGGTGTTTATAAACCTGTCAAACTTTGATTCGACCATAAATCAAAACATCCAGATTAATAAAACCAGTCCCACGCCATCTTAGATCAGTTCACCGCATTCTAAGAGAAGTATTGGACCGGCCACCCGGACTTCCTTTTTAAGCAACGAACCAACAAGCTGGAAAAAATCTGTTGCACTTTACCAACCAAGCAACGGTTCCTTTCAGAATAAAAGCTGAACTCACTGACCCTCAGGGTCCATCTGACGCTGTCAACCAACTGTCGCTTTTTACCTGGAAACAATCCAAAGACTAGTCTGTCGTACTGCTGACGCTGTTTCATCGGCTCCGGTACCGAAGGGGGGTCAGAGGACCTGGCAGTCTGGATCTGTACGGAGGTCTCATCCTAAGGGTATGTGTGGAGCGACAAGATGGCGTCTCATGTGTTTATGAAACTTTGATCATAGCTTAAGAGCAAAACATCACAACATCACTCAGACTTGCTTCTCCGGATACGAGAGTTCTGATGACAACATCACTCACACATACACCATTCATCTCACGTCTCATTCACACCAAGATCCACTCATCACTTAGAGTTTAGAGTTAGTCTTGATTAAAATGGTTTAGAAATAAATCTTCAGGAATGTTTTAAAGGTGACTCTCTCTTCTCTTGTCTCTCAGTTAATACGAAGTGTTACATAATCCCTGCAATAAAAAGTTCCAGTCTTCTGGTTAAAAGTACCCAAAGATCCATAAAATTTATTTCATATTTTCTATGGAATTTCTATCTCATGTCTTATGGTTCATTAAATAGATGTAAATCAAATCCTTACAGACACCACCCTCGCCTTTGTGTATTCTTTCGTGAAAACCCCATGTTTGCACCACAGGCTGACCACTTATGAGTAACCAATGGCTCCTTTTTGTGGCAAAGTTGCGCCATTGTTTCATGAAAAGGTTTGCGTGAGACAGGTTAGGTGGTGAAGAAGAGGAGTATCATTAGGTTTCGACCATACAGTTTATCTGAGACTCACCACTTGTCTCTGATCTCTTCCCTCCTCTGCAGTGTCGTCGGACCATCTGTCACATTCCGGATCCGACCAAACACCAAGAACCTGACGGCTGCAGACGCAGCTGGCAAAGCAGGTAACTGCTGCACTTTGGTTCTGTTGGATTTAGTCTTGAGGAGCTCAGATCTGATGACAAAAAGGAAAGAGGAAAGTTTTTATATAATGTAAAGGACCTGGGGCCTCATTTATCAAGCTTGCTTACGCACAAACGGGGTCGGAAAACTGCGTAAGCAACTTTCCACGCAAACTTTGGGATTTATGAAAGAAAACTTAGCAGAAAAATGTGTGCAGCTTTAAGTTGACTAAGGACCTGGCTTACACACATGTTGGACATGGAGAGCACCTGCAGTGCTGCTGCTGAGAAGGATAAAATTATGAAATCCTGCAGCATTCAGTATGTTTACATGCAGCCAATATCCCGGTTATGATTGGGTTAAGGTCAGTATTCGGGTTTCTGAGTTGATCAGAATAACCCGTTTACAAGCATAAATAGAAAGAGTTACCCCTAACTTGCATAACCCGATTTAAATGCGGACGTTGGGGTAGCGTCCAAACGCAATATGCCTCATTTCTGGTTCTTCTTGTTCTGGTATCCGTGAAAACAACAACATGTTTCCCAGTTCGGAAGAGATAGCGCGCGTTGTTTGTGCTTTAGTTTCTTTGTCACTCCAAAAGTGTGGTGCTGTGCCGCTATTCGCCATGTTTTCCCAACTTGTTGTTTACTTCCGGTGTTCTGGCGCATACAAGACGTCTCGCTACTCAAAAGACCAAGATTCCTTGCGAACAGAGCATGCGCAGAACACACGCTTTGATGGGGATATCCTGGTATGCGTTTACACGACCAAACATTCGGGTTAGAAAAGGGTTACCCCAGGTGTAGTAACCGGGTTTTTAAAAACCCGGTTATGAGCATATCCGGGCTTTTGGCGGTGTTTACATGGACCTGCGGAACCGGGTTATTGTGAATATTCGGGTTTTAAAAGGGTTACTGGCTGCATGTAAACACACTCATTGTCACTTGTACTGCTTCGTTTTCACACAGAACAAGACCCCCCACACGCACGCACATGCACGCGTACACCCACATGAGCGCACACTCACACACACAGCCTGAAGCGCAGAATACAGAATGCAGAATATCAGCAGGGGGACAATTGAGACAGAATGTCATGCGTCTGTGATGGTGTGTGTCTTGTCACTGTGACCCGATTGGTCATGCGCCCTGGCTCCTTGTACAAGGGAGATCTCCGTTTGGCTGACTGGTTAGCACGTGTGACCTTCACCTGGGAGTCTGGGGATTGAATCCTGATTGGATCATTTTTTATATCTGCCACAGATCTCTCTGAAGAACTCAGCATTGACGGCTTCAGCAACGCTGTGCCACTCCGTGGATTTTCTCTTATTTGTTTTGCAAAAGCACTTCCTTTCATTTCTCCACCTCACCCACAAGTACCTCAATTTCTGCTTGTGAAATAGCGCTTCCTTGATCTACGGTCGTGATCGAAGTGCTGCAACAAGCCGGCTTATGTATATGCATGAGATCCACAAGGCACTTTGTATTGACCATTTATGGCAGTAAGTGGGCGTGGTGAAGGCGGGATGTGACTAAAATGCAGCTGAGAACCTTTCTTGATAGTTCCTGATTTATGAAGCGGAGATTGCGTGCAGCTGTGTGTACTCCATGTTTGATAGATCACAAACCTGCTTGGCGTAAGTACATTTTTTTTACTGTGCTTAAGTACGGTTTCAGTAAGGATTCTACGCAATGTTTGATAAATGAGACCCCTGCACTTGTGTAGCACCTTTCTGAGACAGACTTGAAAGCACTTTGCACTTCAGCCATTCACCCATTTACACACAGATGGTGATGAGCTTTAGTGTAACCACAGCTGGGAAACATCTAAGCATGTTCCTGGTGTGTTTGACATTTGCAGTAGCAGAGAAGAACTTCCTGGAGTCTGAGACGGGTCTAAAGGTTCTGCAGAGTGGAGCCGAGCAGGTGATGGAGACTTAAAAACCTAAAACAGCTCAACTTTGTCCCTGATGCTGATGGATCTGGTCCTTGTCTTTTTTGCTCATGTCTCGCAGGTTAGTGAGGTCAAGTCGTTGCCCCTGGCGACCAGAGTGCAGCCCGGCTCCCGTTGGGTGTTCGCCACGCTGGTGGCGATGGCCTGCATTGGTGGCATCCTGGTGGCGGCCATGACCATTGCCTGCCTGCGTCACCACGCCCACCGGCTGGCGGCGAAGAAACTGGGCCTGGGACCAGAGGGAGGTGGCTTCAGCCACCAGGAGTACCAGGTGAGGATTCCAGATGTGCTTCTTGCAATCATAGTTAAGAACCTTTCTTCCTTACTTTTGTAAACCTAAACTTGACTGGTGCCAAACGGTTCACCAGGACCTGTGTCGCCAGCACATGGCTTCTAAAGGTGCCTTTGGGCGAATGGAGGCCGCTGCTCTCGGTGCAGTGGGAGGAGCCAGTGGAGGAGGCGTTGGAAGTGGAGGCGTCGGAGTGGGGTCAGCAGGAGCAGCGGGAGGTGGTGGGGCTGACTCTAGGGTGAGCAGCGTGTCATCCCAGTTCAGTGACGGAGCCCAGCCCAGTCCTAGCTCCCACAGCAGCACTCCATCCTGGTGCGAGGAACCAGCCCAGGCCAACATGGACATCTCCACAGGTCACATGATCCTGGTCAGTACCTGGAGCTCTTAGAAACCTGAATAAAAGCAGCTTTTATTCTAAAATCACCTCCTTTTTTTCTCCTGATTGAGGCGTACATGGAGGACCACCTGAGGAACAAGGACCGTCTGATGAAGGAATGGGAGGGTCTGTGCTCCTACCAGGCTGAGCCCAGTTCTGTGTCTACGGCTCAGAGTGACTCCAACGGCAAGAAGAACCGCTGCAGCCACTCTGTTCCCTGTGAGCCTCATTTCTGTGTTAGCATCACTTTAACCTCAGAGAAGTTGTTAAAGAGAAGGGTCATCGTTTTTTACCTGTTCTTGTTGAACATGATAGTAAAAATAGTTTACCGCACCTATTTCCTGTTCTGGCCGCCAATAGGTAATAGACAGGGAAACGCTCGGGTCTACCTCACACTGTCACTTAACATTCATGGACTCACCCATCTTGACTCGTGTCGGGGTTGTTGGTTTAACGTCCAGGCAGCAGCAGAGATCGTCTCGACTAGCAGATGCTAACCATTAGCATTAGAAACTCCACCACACAGCAGAACTCATATAAGTTTGTGTTATTTGTGGAGATAAAACATCAAGGTTGCAAAGAAAATGGATTAAGTGGAAGAGTTGCATTGCCAGTCAGAGGAGGGATGTAGGAATATCACGAATAGTAACGAGCAACAACTCCAAATTCTACTTCCTGAAACAGGAGCATCAGAGCTTGTTTTCCACAGGTCGACCCACGAGGCATTCGTTTATGCTAGAGACCACGGCAGATTAACTGAAATAAGGAGTGAGTGAGAGCTGGCCGGTGTAACCGTTAGGGACACGAGGAAACACACAGGTCAGAATAATGTGGGGATAACTCCAAAACACCCATGGAAACTGGTCTTTGATGTTTTGTTCCTGCAGACGACCACTCCAGGGTGAAGCTGAAAGCAGAGATTAACCCATCACGCTCCGACTACATCAACGCCAGCACCATTGTGAGTCTCTTTGTTGCCATAGAAACAGGTTTAGTTCAGAGCCGATGAGTGAGAAAGAAAAGAGTTCAGTGTCGTGAATCTGATGGCCCCAGGAAGAAAACAGGATCTTTCTGGTTGTGTTTACAAAAATAAAGCATCTTCTCGGTCCATCCTGCAGATTGAGCACGATCCCCGGATGCCAGCCTACATTGCCACTCAGGGGCCCCTGTCCCACACCATCTCTGACTTCTGGCAGGTCAGGTCGCAGCCCCAGCGGATGCAAGTGTGTGTTCATCCCAGCCCAGGAGGACACGTCAGTGTCATCAGTTTTTCTGCTCATGTTGTGTAGATGGTGTGGGAGAACGGCTGCACCGTGATCGTGATGATGACCGCTCTGGTGGAAGATGGGGAGAAACAGTGTGACCGCTACTGGCCTGATGAAGGCTCATCCCTCTATCACATCTATGAGGTGTGTGTGTGTGTGTGTGTGTGTGTGTGTGTGTGTGTGTGTGTGTGTGTGTGTGTGTGTGTGTGTGTGTGTGTGTGTGTGTGTTTGTGTGTGTGTGTGTGTGTGTGTGTGTGTGTGTGTGTGTGTGTGTGTGTGTGTGTAGATATGATGGTTGTTATTTTTTCTTTCTTAGGTGAACCTGGTGTCAGAGCACATCTGGTGTAACGACTTCCTGGTTCGCAGTTTCTACCTGAAGAACGTGCAGACGCAGGAGACACGCACGCTCACGCAGTTCCACTTCCTGAGCTGGCCTGCGCAGGGCATCCCAACCTCCGCGCGCCCCCTGCTGGACTTCCGCAGGTACTACACGCTGCAAAGGAAGCACCCTGATATAAGCCTGCTTCAGGAGGGTTTCTTAGATGATCACAACCAATATAACTGATGATGATTCGTTTGATTTAGAAAAAATATATAATAAGTTTGATTTAATAGCATATTTTTTATTTATGTTTTTATTTAAAGACCCTAATTAAAAATATTGCATTTGTATAGTGCTTTTCTACATCAGGGACTCCATAGTGTTTTACAGTACAATTATTCACACACACACACACACACACACACACACACACACACACACACACACACACACACACACACACACACACACACACACACACACACACACACACACACACACACAGAGCTACGTGTTAGCCTGAGAGAGGAGGAGGAAGGGGTTCAGTACATGCAAAGTACTTTTGTTACAGCTTTATATAATGCTTTTCTGTGTGTGTGTGTGTGTGTGTGTGTGTGTGTGTGTGTGTGTGTGTGTTTTGACTACAAAAAGCACTGCACTAAGAAATTGTATTGTGCACATATTTAATTTGTTTGAATGTTTATTTTTCATATGTACAGTACATGTAATCTTCAAATAAAGTCACAAACTATAATAATCAACTAGAATTATTTTTTACTCAAGTCTCATGTTGCGGTGAGGCATTCAGAATTGTTTTCTGAGTACCATAAAAACATGTCAGTTTTACTTTCACAAGTAAACCATTACTGCATTCGCTGTAATAGTTTACTTGTTCATTGTCTTTTATTATGAATTTATTTTAATCTTATTTTGGTAAAATACAGCTGTAAAAGATCATAGATGAAAAAAGTAAAGGAAAATTTTTTGATAAATTTGATCCCCAAAATATAGTAAAGAAATGAAAAAGAAGAGAACAAAAAGTGAGTCGTTTCACAGTACTTGGAATTCCCTGTGGTAAAATTGTGTACAAGCACAAAATCAGTCATATGGCGGAGACAAAAAAGAATTTTGATACCGCCCTAATTTTTCCCTTTTTTTTCTTGCGCCCCCATGAAAAAACACTGTGTTATAGGTTATAACACACCTTGATTCAAAACTTACAATTTCTGTCATTTTTAGTTCAAGATGTAAATAAATAAATGTCATTTATTTTAGTTTAGTTTTCAGCGTATACATTTTGCTATATGAGTCTGTTTCATTTTTAGACTAAATACTAAATAAATATACCCACATGTAGTACTATTTTTCTTTCACTGTGATCTGTAAGTGTTTATTTTCAGGACTCTTATTTTGTTGGTTTCTGCCTCACAGGAAGGTGAATAAATGCTACCGAGGACGATCCTGCCCCATCATCGTACACTGCAGGTGAAACCTGGCAGACCTTCTTCTGCTTCATCTAATGAGCTTCTGTTTATGACTGGGTGACTGAAGGTCACCTCGGGTCAGAGTTTGATGACGGAACTATTTTTGAGTGTTTCTCCTTCAGATAACTTAATGTCAGCATTGTTGGTTTTACTGCGTTTCTACACTAAACATTGTGTTTGAGTGTTTTTATCTCAGTGATGTTTCCAGCATCAGGTCACGCTTTGGTTCTTGTGTTTCCTTAGTGACGGTACCGGCAGGACTGGGACCTACATTCTGATTGATATGGTTCTGAATCGAATGGCTAAAGGTAAAACATTTGTGCTTTTTTGAATTGTTCAGATGAATATTCAGTCATTTTTTTGTGATCCGAGTCCGTTTACCTGCAGGCGTGAAAGAGATCGACATCGCTGCGACGCTGGAGCACATCAGAGACCAGAGGCCCGGGATGGTGCGCACCAAGGTGGGTTTGGACCAGACTCACTAGTCCGATGGTTTAGTACACATAACCAAGCCTGGGTTGGAACTTTGTTAAATAAATTATATTTGACTGGAGCGGGCTAGAAATTCTTTCCCAAGTTTTAATAAAAAATAAAAGCACCCACACTGGTCTCTTCCCTTCTCGTTTCAGGACCAGTTTGAGTTTGCTCTGACAGCGGTCGCTGAAGAGGTGAACGCCATCCTCAAAGCTCTGCCCCAGTGAGACCAGAAGAACCAGACTAGCCTTCAGTTAGATGGACTGAACTCCTCCCCTATGACTCAGGCGCTCAGAACCTTTCCTCACACGGCACTTCTAAACCAACGTTAGGGTTAGACTGCTTCAGGATGTTTCTCCAAACTGCATGTGAATGCACCATGAACTCTGTGATTTTATTTCTGCAGCCATGCTCTGACCCTCATGTGACTGCAGTCTGTAGAAAATGTGCTTTTTGTTTGGACTCTCCCAGAAAAATTAACTAAACATTTGAATATTAAAGCCACAGAATGTCACACCAACCCATTTGGTACCTGCATCCCAGCTAAATTCTCTGTTTTCATGTTTAAAACCTGCAGAAGAAGCCGTCCCCTCCCGTGTGCCACTCTTACCTCTTTCAGTCTATGGGTATGTTGTTGTTTACCTCAAGCAAGATGGAAAATAAAACAAAAAAATAACTATTTTGTATGTGTGAGACCTTCAAATAAATCTGTGTTTAAGTGTTGCAACAGCTCTGACTTCTGTGGCTTCCTGATGTGGTTTAACCTACACGTACAGCTGAAAATCATAAAGGATGATTAGGTTAGTCACATTTTCAGGAGCTAGACTGCAGTTCTACAATTTCTGAGTTCACCAGGATTCACTTCATTTAGATTTGATCAGCCAAACATGAAATCGAAGCGTGAAAAACTTCCAAAAACGCACAAGAACGTCCTCCACTTATGTCCAGTAGAGGGCGACAAAATCATTCCTCTCGATGGTGCTCACAAGTCACTCATCTTGAACTAATAATACTTTTATATCCGTCATGTTTGATTTGAAATTACAAACCTATGTTAGTACATTTTTATAAATAAATATATTTTTATATTTAATATTTATATATTGTTTATTGATTTGATCAGTTATATATTTTATGTGTTACTAATAACTGACATGTTTGAATAAAAATGACAAACCTACATTGGTAAAATTGTATAAATAATTTACATAGTAAATTTTATAAATAAATATATATAATTTATATTAACTTTTAATTACTTTATTTTATTTATTAAGAGAAAAATCTACAGCATGTGCTGTTGAGTTGCATCTTGTTTACTTGTTGTTTGGGGCAGCAGTAGCTCAGGTGGTAGAGCGGGTTGCCTCATGATCGGAGGGTCATGGGTTCGATTCCAGCTCCCGCTAGGGGTATCCTGCTGTTGTGTCCTTGGGCAAGACACTTCACCCAACTTGCCTGTGTTAGTGGTGGTCAGAAGGGCTGAAGGTGCCAAATGGCAGCCTCGCCTCTGTCAGACCTCCCCAGGGCGGCTGAGGCTACAAGTAGCTTACCATCACCAGCAGTGTGTGAATGTGAGAGTGTGTGAAGGTGTCTAGAAAAGTGCTAAATAAGTTCAATGCATTATTATTATTAAATCCAGACACCATCTTAATTTCACATAAATATCTTTTCTTTTGTTATTGCGTTTTAACCGCTTTGTTTGCTTCAACATTACAGTTTTTCTCAATTGCTAAAACACTAAAATCCATTGACTGAAGAAAGTTCTCAGTTGCTTGAACTCATTAAGCTAACTGTTGAGCCTGTTGTCAAAACTTTAAACCATTTCACACGGTTCAGCAAAACTCTAAACGCATTCTCGATCTTAAAACACATTCTGCACTCTAATGTACATCATGTCACCCATAACGGTAAACACAAGTGGCACATTTACCTATAACAAGAGCACAAATGTCATTGATTGAACACAATCAGTCAAAATAGATTTCACTTGTTTCAAATGATGTGGCAACCAATATAAGCAAGTTCAGAGAGCAATCAGGTGGTTGAAGGTGGGAATGAGAAAGTGTGACAATGGATCGAATAATTCATGAGAGAGGACGAGGATGCGAGGTGGGGGATGAGGAGAATGGCAAGAAAGAGAAAGAGGAGGAAGAGGAAGAGCAAGACAAAGAAATATCCAAAGAAATTTGAGCAACAACCATTGACCATGTTGTTGTCCATGGGCTGACAATGAGGGAAGCAGGACTTGGAGTGCAACCCAATTTGAGCCTCAGGAGCAAAAATATGTGATGTCGATGAAATGCTGTGGCCTGACCCAGCCCACAGACAAGAAGAGGCCCATTGATAACATGTTTAGTCCTTTGTTGTTTTTCATTTCATGTATTTTTTCCCCGTCGTTGTACACTGTAGCACAATGGACAATAAACAAATTGCATGGCCCTGAACATTGGGCTTTCTATTTTTTGGTGTATTGTTTACTGACTGCTTGATGGTGTATGTAATTTTGAGTAATGTGTTAATTTTTAAGTTAGTTTTGAAATCCTTAGATGATACCCTCCACCCTTGGCTATCCTCGGCATAAAATAAGTGTACAATTTGGATAGTTGACTGCCCGCAATCCATTTAATGACAGTAGTAGCTGTAGAAACAATTGTAATAAGGTTACAATATTAATCGTTTCCTTTTTCTATGTAGTTTAAGTTCCAGAACATCGCACTTGATTGGCTGCTGCGACTTACAGTTTTTCTCAATTGTTTACACACATTTTCTGGTACTTGAGACACAATTACCACAACATGTAACCAAGTAACCAACCCCCTTAACCTAAACCACAAGCACAATTCCTGCTTTGAACTCAAATAGCAAATCTAAAACACACTTTTTTTCAAAACACTGCACACAATTCTCTGCTGTTGGCACAGTGTTCATTCAGAAAGTGTTTTCACAAGGAACACACTGGTATTCAAATATGCACACTGACTCATCACAAGGGCAAACACCTGTCACACAGTTTTACAATCAGCAATCAGAGCTTTAGCATAAAAGGGCAACAGGTGAGCTCTTCTGTGTTGGAGCAGTGGATGTCAACAATGGAAACAGAGGCAGAGCCAGAGGAGTGAGAGTAAGGGAACATCACAATGCGTGCAGTGCTTAGCTACCATGGCATCATCCATCACCATGCTACCCTTGGCCCCTACAACTCCACTCATCTGATCACATCCCTGGACACCCAACACAACACACTCATCTCCACCAGATCAGGTAGATGGCCCAGAACAGCCCAGGTATGTTGTCATTTGGGACAACGTAAGTTTCCACAGGGCTGCTGTGGTTCGTAACTGGTTCACTGGCCACCCACGCTTTTTAGTTGTTTATCTCACTCCATATTCTCCATGTCTCAATCCCATTGAGGATTTTTTTTCTGCCTGGAGATGGAAGGTGTATGACCGACAGCCACAAACCCGTATACCTCTTCTCCAAGCTATGGAGGATGCATGTGGAGATATAGCAGCTGATTATTTTCATGGCTGGAATCGCCATGCTAGGTGTGTTTCCCCCGCTGCTTGGCCAGGGACAACATTGCTTGTGATGTGGATGAGGCGCTGTGGCCAGACCGCAACAGAAGAGAGGATGCAGCATAGTTTTCTTTTTTACTGTAACTGTATACAGTAAATTCTTCTGTTGCATGTAGTTTATGTGTGCAACTTTGTGTTGGTTGGGAATGGGATAAACATTGTGTGCAATGTTTTGTGGGAAAAATAAAGTAATTTTAACCATGTATTTGTGTGTTCAGAGTGTAAAAACAATATTCTGAAATAACAACACATGCATGTATTTACTGTCTGTAGTAAGTGTAACACTGAACCAAAAAGGCTTTAGTCATTATGATGAATGGAGAAGACGTGTTTTCCATTCATCATAGTGTTTTACATTGAGCACATACGTGTTCTGCTGGTTCTTATAAATGTCTATTCATATGATGGTTTGTGTGTGTCATTTGACAACAAAATCACATTTTGAGGAGAAATAACATTGTTTTGAATGTGAAGTTTAATTTTGCAGGTTAAGTGAGGGTTTTGCCCATTGTGTGTGTTTTTTTGGATTTGTGTGTAGAGTTCTGAGAATATGAGGCATGCTTTCAGGAAATGTGTGTAAACAATTGAGAAAAACTGTAACTGCCTCGCTGTTTTTTGACTCTGATATTGTGAAGACAAGTTTTGCAAATAAAGTTTTTCACGTTTGAAAAAAAACGTTGTGTTTTTAAACTAGGGCTTACCATTGGCTCCCGCCGAAACTGAAGCCTAACGTTTACAAGTCCCGCCTTCTTACAAGGCTATAAAAACAACAAGCTGCTTGCCGCCGCCACACAGCGCCTCCCAACCACGATACTTTGACGTCGTTTAAAGGGAACCATAATTGCTGAAAATGGTGAGTAAAAAGCGGAAACATGCCTCAAGAAGTTGCGCTTGAAATATTTTAAAGAGGAGCAGGCGGGATGAACGAAACTTCTGTACCCTACGGTTTTTTATTAAAGGTAATCGGTCATTCGTAGCTAAACTGACGCAGTTACAAAATAAGTTTTGCCGCTCATAAATATCCGTTTTTTTCACCGCTTCATTGAGTTTTAGTATTATTCTTGATGGCTTAATTATTTTTTTGGGGGGAGTTATGTTTGCAGTTGAGCCGAACCGAAACATTATGCGGTAATTTTCCATTTTTAGCTCGAATGTTAACCAGGCCCGGCCGTTGGGGGCAGGGCGGTATCTTCCGCTCGCCTTTGCCGAGCGTGTCTTTCTAAACTTTCCCTCCTGAGTCGCTCCCATTTCCGCTAAACTCATCGGAAAGTAACCCTCCATGTTGAGTTAATCATATATATTTTATATTATAGAGCTTTAACTCGGGCAGAAACTGCGCCTCGTGGTGTTATGAAAGGACATCGCGACATCCGACCTTCAAGTAACTCGATCTTTAATCACATTTCGAGTAAAAAAACTCTTAAACTGTTTAGCTCATTAGCATTTCTTACCTGGAGTAGTAGATGAGCTTAAAGGCCTGTTTACGGGCAGACATTTTGAAGGGCTGCGTTCCATTATTTAAGCGTCACGTGTAGTTTACTTGGTACATTATTAGTGAAAAGCACATTTCTACGTCGAAGATGATTTAAATGTGGTGAAGTAGACCCATAATTCGCGTGCTTCCTGTTCCACAGCGCGAGTGCATCTCTATCCATGTCGGTCAGGCCGGAGTCCAGATGGGCAACGCATGCTGGGAACTCTACTGCCTGGAGCACGGTATACAGCCCGATGGGCAAATGCCCAGCGACAAGAGCGTTGGAGGGGGAGATGACTCCTTTAACACCTTCTTTAGTGAGACCGGTTCAGGGAAACATGTTCCCAGAGCTATCTTTGTGGACCTGGAGCCAACTGTCATTGGTAAGATCACTGATTTAATGCTCACGTGGTCACATTCTACACTAAAGAACACAATGTTCAATCGTTGAAAATGAAATCCCTTATCTGATTTTTCTGTTTCTTAGATGAGGTTCGTACAGGAACCTATCGGCAGCTCTTCCACCCAGAGCAGCTCATCACTGGAAAGGAAGATGCTGCAAACAACTACGCCCGTGGTCACTACACAATCGGGAAGGAGATCATTGACTTGGTTTTGGACCGTACCCGCAAGCTGGTAGGTTTAATTTATTGAATTTCATGATTCTTTGTGGTTCTAAATTAACATGAGAAACTGTCCTGTTAAGGCTGACCAGTGCACAGGTCTCCAGGGTTTCCTCATCTTCCACTCCTTCGGAGGGGGAACTGGTTCTGGCTTCACCTCCCTGCTGATGGAGCGTCTGTCTGTTGACTACGGCAAGAAGTCCAAGCTGGAGTTTGCAGTTTATCCAGCTCCTCAGGTGTCCACGGCTGTGGTGGAACCTTACAACTCCATCCTCACCACCCACACCACCCTGGAGCACTCAGACTGTGCCTTCATGGTGGACAATGAGGCCATCTATGACATCTGCCGCAGGAACCTGGACATCGAGCGTCCTACCTACACCAACCTGAACAGGCTGATTGGACAAATCGTGTCTTCCATCACTGCCTCCCTGCGCTTTGATGGGGCCTTGAACGTGGACCTGACAGAGTTCCAGACCAACCTGGTGCCCTACCCTCGTATCCACTTCCCTCTGGCTACCTATGCCCCTGTCATCTCAGCAGAGAAGGCTTATCACGAGCAACTGTCAGTGGCTGACATCACCAGTGCCTGCTTTGAGCCAGCCAATCAGATGGTGAAATGCGACCCACGTCATGGTAAATACATGGCCTGCTGCCTCTTGTACAGAGGAGATGTTGTCCCCAAGGATGTCAATTCGGCCATCGCCACAATCAAGACAAAACGAAGCATCCAGTTTGTGGATTGGTGTCCCACTGGCTTCAAGGTGGGCATCAACTACCAGCCCCCTACTGTGGTTCCTGGAGGAGACCTGGCAAAGGTGCAGAGAGCTGTGTGCATGCTTAGCAACACAACTGCCATCGCTGAGGCCTGGGCTCGACTGGACCACAAGTTCGATTTGATGTATGCCAAGAGGGCCTTCGTCCACTGGTACGTGGGAGAGGGGATGGAGGAAGGGGAGTTCTCTGAGGCCAGGGAGGATATGGCTGCCCTGGAGAAGGACTACGAGGAAGTGGGCACTGACAGCGTTGGGGAGGAAGATGAGGGAGAGGAGTACTAAAGTCTTAAAGTTGTTTCTGCTCTGTGTGTTTGTGAGTTTCTGTTCTGTTGAAACATGTTATCGAGCTCAAATCTTGTTTGTATGTTTGTGGATTTATTTTTTTCCCACAAGTTTAAAGTTCAGAAAACTGAAGTGGGTCTGTCAAACTGGTTTAATGCAGGTTACAGAGAAGATGGTGTGAAGACTAGCCTGTTAACTGGTAACATGAAACTTTTGGTTGTAACTGTTCTGAAAACCCTGAACATTTGAATAAATTCCTGATAAAGTTTGACTAAACTGTCCTACAAAGCTTTGTTCTGACTGGCTTAAATTGAGATCTAACTTCAAAAGATTCTCTCAGAATTAAAGTGGGTCAGGTGTGCACATTGGGTTTTCAGATATTGCAGTGGGATGCTAAAGCTGTTAATCCTCCCAGAAACCTTCACTCAAAATGGTTTCTGTCTATCATGGGTTGTTTTAACAGCTGCTGCAGCTATTACATGAAAAGAACATTTCTGTCTGAAAGTAAAAATTGCAGACATGAGCAACCTGTAAAGTCTTGGATGTTCAGTCAGATCTGCAGTTCTAACCTAGAGCATAATTCTTCCTGATGCAACATTGGGAACACTCACCAGGTTAGCTTTTGTGCTCTGGTGGTTAAACGCTGGAACGTCCGTAATTAAATGGTGCTGGAAGTGTGGTGCATAACCAATTAAAATCCTTTTTCAACTACGATTAAACGGCTTCCGTGTTTATGGTTAAAGAAAAACAAAACATTTAAAGCTAGCTTTGAATTTCATCGAAATGACAAGCCAATATCTTTAAAATGGCAGACACCTGGATGAAACGAAGTCTTAAGATTTTATTTTGTAAACCAATAGTGGTGATTCCAACATTAATCTGTCAAAACACTAACCTATAGTTAACAGAACCATTATTGCTGATTGTTGCCCTAAAAGACCCGTTTCTCGGTAATGAAACTTAAGACATTTTTTATTTTGAATTTAATCTGGATAAAAACTGCTCAGTGGTGTTAACTGCTGTAGTTCTAGCATTTGGTCACCAGAGGGCACAAAGTGACAACTTTGAACCAACAGCATCTTGGCTTCTGAAAACTGAGAAAACGCAGCCTGCTTAATCATTTCTACACAGTAATATGTAACTGCAGATCAGACTAGAAGTACAAGTTAAAAGTAACTGTTGGGCTTCACGTTGTTTCCTTTTCGTTTTCATCAGAAAGTTTCAAGACAAAAAAAACTTTACCTTTTAATGACACTAAACATTTAATAAACCCTGCCACATGGATCAGTTTCTTTTTCGTGGTTCTCATAAAAGTAAAAAAATGTCTCGCGTTCAAAGTCTAGAGTCAAAATGTAATTTGAAAACATGAGAGAGCATGTGTTTACAGATTACTGATCCAGCCTCATGCAGCAGAGGACAAAAGGCCCCGACACATAAAATCACATCTGAGGAAGTTTTATCATGTGCTAAAAAGCTGCACCTCCACAGACAAAAGAAAGTTCCAGTAGAAGGTTTATATTTTTATTCTTCAGTGAATAGGTGAGAAGTAATAAAACCACCTGCACATTAGAAAATGTAAGCCACATATCAAGCTGTCATTAACATGATCAGAGCTAGAAAAAAATAAAACTACTGTTCCCTTTGATAAATCTACAAGAAACATTACTTCTCTTTGATAGGTCTTAGCAGATTCTTTAACTGTGCTGATGGATGTGGCGTTCCACTCGGCTGTGAACCAGGACAACTGCAACTTTCAGACAGTCAGATTCATTCTGCGGTCATCTGGTGTTGCAGTGAATTATGTTAATATTTCATGCAAGGAACGGCTCCAAAAATAGTAAATTAAAAAAAAATGAAGCACAACAGAAAATAGTTTGATATTCAGTACATTTTACATGCATGGCTGACCGATATGCAAAAAAAAAAAACATCTGAAAATGTGGGTTTTGTTTTTGAAGGACAAACCAAAACAAAACATTTTATTCTGGGTTTACAAGTTGACTAAAACGTCATGGTAAAGTGAGTCTGATAGCTTTTCACTTGGATTTTCCACTTACAGGCACTATTTTCATTCATTTTGTTTCATACAAGATGTTGTCTTTTAGTTCACACATCTGGGTTAAAATGTTTACCGCATCAAACCTTCTGGGTGAAGTTTTCAGGGAAAACACCTTTGGCTGAAATGTCTTTCTTCTGCATCCAGTGGGACTCCTTCAAGCCCAGGAGCCAGCCATCGTCCTGCAGAGACAAAAAAAAAAAACCATCAGACCAGAATGCGCCCAGATTCAACACAAACCCACAGGAGAAACACCTGAAGTAAACCTGAGGTTCATTCTTCGTTTAAATTAAACGAACATCCTAATATCTACAAGAAAGTAAAACTCAGAGATGCTACTAACACACAACTCAAAGTAGATGGTTTTCATTTGATAGAATGTCACCCCAGTCTTAAAGAGACAATGTGTATTTTTTACCTTTACCCTTTGGAAATAGCCATCAAAATGTTGAAAATGAATAAAATGATATCCAGTTGTTGAAACATATTGGCGGCTTTGTAACATACAACCATAAAGTACATAGGGAGCGTCTTTGGAGGTCACCATAGGGAGTCTTGGGCTACTGCAGGCCTTGATGCTCAATCCCGATTTTTTGAATAAATCTGATTTTTTTTTTTTTGGTGTGGACGTTCACACGATGACTAAAATGCGACATCAAACTCTCTCCTGTGTGAACGCTTCACGGCACCAAAGCGACCCGCATGCGCAGAAGACAAGAAGTCACACAGATGAGTCGAAACCAAGCCCCCACAATGCGGCTCAGAAAGTGGTCTCAACCCGGAAGTGACAAAAATTGCAGTTCCACCCTCATCCACTAGGGGCTGGTGTCAGAAGCGAGCAAATCCTCATTGACTCCCATGTTAAAAATACCAATTTCACAGCAGAAATAAACATGTTTACATCCTGGTACCAAAACATGTTTTTGGTTTAAATTATCTAGTTTACACTCATGACAACTCTGAGGGGGGTGAATTTTTTCTCACTCTTCTGTTTAAGTGTATTAAAAGCCTAAAATTCTGTATAATTAATGAGTATCAGACCCACGTGACCACAGAGCTAGCTCCGGGGAAAGGCCTCAGTAGAGCCTCGGTCTGGCCTGGAAACTGTTCCGGGATTTTGAGTCTCCGTGTTTGTGTATTCTTTTTTGGATATTTTTTGTGCAATTTTTGTGCTCGGGTCGAGCAGGCTGCTTCATGCTCGTTCACGCTCAGGCATAGCCCGTAGCATTTGCTATCAGTAGCTTTAGCAGCGGAGAGAGAGGTAGTGCCAACTCAGCGACTTTGTCGCTGTTCCTAACGCCTAGTGACAAAGCTAGCTACATTTCTGAGGACCCTTAGCTACTTTCTGTAGAACTTTCTTCTAGATATTTCCTGCAAATTAGCAACAAAATAGCCATTTTCGCTCCGAACCGTTCTTTGGATGTTGTTTCAGCTGTCATCAAGGATATAAATGTTACAGATACAAAAGATGTCACCAGTGCTTTAGCTCACCTGGTAAGACGTCAGACTCTCGAGCAGAATACCCGGGTTGGATTCTGGATGTCAACATAGTTTATTTAGAGTTTCTTTTTTAGATTAATGGTATATTTTTTTACAGTAAGATGCCCAAATTTTTATTTGAGACTCGCCGTACGCAAGGGAAGGGAATGATCTGAGCATGCAGGAGGACCCGTCATAAACCTTTGTCGGCTGTGCTGAAGAGAAAGGTACAGAACCAAATTATTTAATTAATTAGCTGCGCGTTCTCCTGTCCTCTGTCCTCTGGGCCACACACACACACACACACACACACACACACACACACACACACACACACACACACACACACACACACACACACACACACACACACACACACACACACACGGGGGACTGTCTCGGCTGTTATTTTCGTTAAGGAGTGTGCACGTACAGCATGTGTGCCTCGTGCACGAGCCTACTATTGAAGCTGCTATTACGCTTTTGGCCTGAGGGGGCAATCGCGAGCATAAAAATTCAAAACTCCGTAAAGTCCCTTTAAACTCATTTTTTCGTTCTTCCAGGGACCCATGGTCTGGAAGTAGATGGGCGTGACCTAGGCATGGAGTAAAACTACCCTGAAATGTATGTATGTACTGCCCCCTAGTGGCAGGAAACTATTCACCACCACTTAAAAAAATCAAATTGAACACAATCAAAGAAATTCTGACCTGTTCATCTGGGTTTTCAAAAGCCAAAACCAGCACGATATCTCCGATGTTCAGCTCCAGCTCGTCGTTGTCCGTCGAAGTGTACTCGTGTACTGCTTTCACCTGGAGGGCAAACAGAACTTTATTAAAACCAAAGTCATACCCATGTCTGCTTTAGGAAGAGAAGTGGATTCACCTTGTAGAGGAACCCTGGAGGAAGTTCACCATTGGAGCTGTCGGTTGCTGAACTCTGTTAAAGAGAAACAGAGAAAGGTTGGGATGTATTCGTCAGGAAGGCCACACCGAACAACGACAACGAGGTTGGGAAGAAAGACAGAAGCTTCAGGGAGGACAGGAGTGTTCTCATGGGATCAAGGTTCCATACTTCAGAGTTCAACTCTACCTCCTCCTCGTACCCCAATCCACCTTGACCAACATCAGGACCACCATTGTCCCAGCTGGGCTCGGCGTACGGCTGAGTTGCATTTGCTTGTTCTTCAATCCAGTCTTCCCGGCGGTCAGCTGTTTCATCCCAGGCGTGGCTCTGGTAGTCGTGTTCCTGGTAGCTCCAGCCACTTTGGGTCTCTTCTGGCTCCTGCTCATCCTGGGGTACCTGCTCTGAAGCAGCCTGCCCTTGCTACCACACCAATGGTTGTGTTGGATCACATGGAGTTTGGAATCAAGAGGATGGATGGATGGGAGGAGGACGGAGAGCAGGAAGGAAACAGCATTGAAGGATTCCAGTTGGAGTAATGAGTTTGACCGTGACAGGTGCGGGGGTTTGCAAAGCCAGAAAGTCAATTATTTCTCTGATCATAACAATAGAAATGGAATTAGAATAAACTTTACTGTCAATGCCCCAGCGTCCTGAAGCATAGACATTTGTCTCTGCAGTACAGCCTGTCTAAGTTTACACACACAAACATATAGAACAAAAACAGATACAGGAAGACCACCAGAGCGGCCATCAAGGCGCTCAAATAGAAAGAAAAGCAGATGTGGTTTCCTCCAAATACACGGTGAACTCACCCACGAGTCCCATGATGGCGCCTGTCATGAAGCAGGACGGAATAAGTAAAAAAAAAAAAAAAAACATAAGAAAGTGATATTTGTCCTCTGCATTAGACCCATCCCCGTGGGGAGTGGTAGGTTGCAGACATGGCCGCATTTGGAAACTATTTGGTTGTTTACCCCACAACCCAATCCAACCTCTTTTTCAAAGCTGAGCATCAAGCAGAGCTCCATATTTTAAGTGTCTGGTACGCCCTGACCAGGATTTGAGTCAGCTTTCACTCCGTGTCAAATCTTCTACAGAGAGTTGTTCAAACCACCGATGTATAAAACTCAGGTCCTTTGATTCTCAGTTACTGATTAAAGCAATTTAATTGGTTTCATTTCACAAGGAAAACAGTAAAGGCCATGCAAAGCGAGGCTGAAGCTCATAAACATGCAAAGACACACACACACACACACACACACACACACACACACACACACACACTGACCTTTACAGCTGGAGATGTAATGGGCTGTAAAACCTCAACATCCCATTTGAGCAGGTTCACCCCTGGCCAGGGTTCACACTGCTACGTGCACACACACACACACGCACGCGCGTTAGGGCTGTGTTATAAGTTAAGTTTAAGTCCCATTAGTTGTCACACACACACTGATGTGTGTGCGACATTTGTTCTCCGCATTTGACCCATCCCCTGGGGGAGCGGTGAGCTGCAGACACGGCCGCGCTCGGGAACCATTTGGTGGTTTAACCCCCCAATCCAACCCCTTAATGCTGAGTGTCAAGCAGGAGGCATTGGGTCCCATTTTTTCAAAGTCTTTGGTATGACCCAACCAGGAATCGAACCCTGATCTCCCAGTCTCAGGGCAAACACTCTACCACTAGACCACTGAGCTGGTATCAATGTTATCAAACAGACTTTTTCGTGTTAGTTATTTTAAATGAAACATTGTTCAAAATAAAACCCTTCAGATAAACGGAGTGTAAAATATCTTATTTAAGTACTGCTCAGGCTCTGTCTCATAGACTTTGATGCCTTTGCAGCCAGATCTAGTCTCCTCGAGTTAGTCTGACCTGTGTTGTGTCGTCTGGGTTAGTGAGAGTCGCAGGCTCCACGGCCTCGTCTTCAGACAGGCTGGTGTTCTGCTGTTTGGGGTCCGGAGATGGCGTCGGTCTCGGTGGAGGTCGACTGAGAGGAGGAGCGGGTTTCTGCACCACCACCACACAGGATGCACATGCATGCACATGCAGCAAGGACCACATAGAAATGTTAGGGTGCAGACTGGATTTATCACAAGTAAACCTGAAGCCAAAGCTTTACAGTCGTAGTGGTAAAGATTTGCACAACTCACACAAATATTTGTTTTCTTTTCATTAAATATTAAATGAGTTTATTAAGCTTTTTTTATGGGATGAAATTTACAAATTACATAAAATCAGTTTGAATTTAATCACAATCCGGGGCAGATTTATGAGGTTCAGCGATAATAATAATCTACTTTTTACTATTGAATATATTTGCTGTAGTGCTTGCCTCATTTATTACCCACGCTAGAACCTCCTTCTGCTTTTTAAACTGTTTTATACGATATGAAAGCTTCACTTGCAGGATTAAACTCTCCTGAGAAAATGTTCGTCCTTTTCATGGGGTCACTGTCCAGGTGAGCTGTTGTTTTTATTTACCTTTGGTGCTGAGCCAGCTGATTCGCTGTGATTTGTTTCCTCGCTGAGAGGAGAGAGAAAAAGACAAGAAAAAACAGACAAAAATATTAAAAAGGCATCCACAGAGGAGGAACGGATTCATTTCACAAGGCAGTTCTGGGTTTTGTCCACACGAGGGTGCAAGAGTGCAAAATTAGAAGCATCAAGAGTTCAGAGCAAAAACATGCACACGTTTTTGTCATTTCCACTTTACAGAAATATCACAAGAGCGTTTAAAAGATAACTAGAGAAACATAAACTCAGACTGTATGAAAAGGAACAAAATCTAATAATTGTGTTATTGATTTTTAAGTTGTTTCCCATGCAAAACCACAGAAATGTGATATTTATGTGTTTATTTTACATATTTCCTGATCCAGGTTGTTACATTTATCAGTATATTTTATCCTGGGATGTGGTTGTAACAGGACAGCATCTGAATATAAATAATATGACTCTGAGTCTGCGGGGGGGGGGGGGGGGGGGGGGGGGGGTTAGTTTAGATCCATAATAAGCACACACACACACACACACACACACACACACACACACATGCAGCAGAGCAGGTTGTACCTTTTTGCACCCTCTCCTTTCTTTGGCGCTGCTGCAGTAGCATCTTTTCTGCAGCAGGTGGCATCATGAGGTAAATCACTATCATTCTTCTACACGCTTTTAAGACACTGGAAGCATCAGGCTGAACTTACTTGAGCTGTCGCTGCTCCTCCAGTTTGGTCATGATGTCATTCAGGTTCTGGCTGAGCTGCAGGGACACAGATCAGGACATGACGTCACTGATGGATTAATCGTCACTCTGATCTATTCAAACTTCCACTTACGCTGCTCATCTCTCTGTGGAACTTCTCCTGCTGACCGGCCAGGCTCTGGAATGTGCCAACATAGACGCCAACACGACTACACACACACACACACACACACACACACAGAGAGAGAAACACACACACGTTGTTATTGGTTAATCTGTTGGGTTGGCGCCGGTTCTGATTGGTCTAGTTCTGACCTGTCCCACAGAGCCGGGAGCTCGTCTTGTAGCTCTACGTTCAGCTCCTCAAAGATTTTCTGAGCTCGACCCAGGTCTTCCTCTGCCTGTACACACACACACACACACACACACACACACACACACACACACACACACACACACACACACACACACACACACCATGAATAATAACAGTTTCATCCTGAAGCAAATCCAAATCGGGGACGATAAACCTCTCGACACCTCTTGGTGCTGTTCGTAGGGGCGGAGCTAATTTAGGTGGTCCTGGGGGGACAAGGAGGAGGAGATGAACCAAAGGGTCACCTGGTTGTAGGAGAGGTTAGTCTGAGCCACCTGGTGGGCAGAAATCAAACCCTGAGCCCAGCTGGGAGCCGCCATCTCCAACAGTGCTGCTTGCTGACCACACACAAACACGCGCGCGCGCACACTCACACACACACACACACACACCATGCAGGAAAGGGTGAGGAAGGACAGAGCAAGATAGGAAACAGTGCACATTCATTAGTGAGTTGTGAGCGAGAAGAAAGAGAAGTTTTAACGATCAATGCAAGTCAGTTAGCTGCAGGTTAAAATAAACAGATTCACTGACGTAAGGTAGAATGAATAGAAACAGCATTTCAGGAGGGTTTTCTAAGATTTTGTTCACATGTTTAGTTTTAAGAAGAGACTGAACTCCCATCAGAAACACTACATAATTTAAATTGAAGCTGAGAAGCAAAATCCACAAATATTTCTTCATTCCACCTTAAATCAAAACCTGATCTCAAATTACAAACATGCTCCCTCCTATTACACACACATTGCGGAAATGAATGATGATGAATGACCTGCACTTGTATAGCGCCTCTCAGAGTAAGGACTCCAAAGCGCTTTACACTACAGTGTATCATTCATCCATTCACACACTGATGGTGATGAGCTACGATGTAGCCACAGCTGCCCTGGGGCGCGCTGACAGAGGCGAGGCTGCCGAGCACAGGCGCCACCGGTCCCTCCGCGCACCACCAGCAGGCAACGTGGGTTAAGTGTCTTGCCCAAGGACACAACAGCAGAATTCTCTGTCTGGAGCTGGGATCGATCCTGCAACCTTCCGATTACTGGACAACCCGCTCAACCTGTTGAGCTACTGTGAAACACACTCCATCACCTGGTTACCTTGGCGATCTTGGCTTCATCCTTCTTCTTTCCCTTCTGTAAGGAGGAGAAGTGATGGCGAGCGCTGTCAAAGTCCACAAGCTTCCTCTCTCGCTTTGCTAGACGAGCCTGTGTGACACATACATCACCACACATCTACTGCGTTCTTTTCACTCTCGCACGTGTGTGTGTGTGTGTGTGTGTGTGTGTGTGTGTGTGTGTCTCTGGTCTCCAGTCCTACCTTGATCTCAGGAAACTGGAGCAGGTACGTGTCCATACACAGCAGAGATTTGTCTGTGATGTTCTGGTGATAGTCCAACCACAGAGTGTCTGTGTCCTGAAACACAACATGTCCATTTAAGGTCTTCCTGGTTTCACATTCTGTCTGAAGCTTGGCAGAGTGAAAACACGACACACGCAGCTCTACAGTCTGACCGAAAAACCGTTTTGACTTCCTGTCCTGCAAAGCTGCTGCACTGGTTCTCCGCAAGGACCACAACAGCATCACTGCTGATGAGGTAAGACCCGTAGGGCCCACTAGAGCGGTCCGAACACTTTACCTCCAGGTTATAGTCCAGTTCTTTCTCTATCAGCTCCTTCAGGTGCGAGTGAGAGAGGCATGCAATTAGAGAGGAGAGAGTGAGAGTCAGCAGGAAGGAAAGAGGTCACACAGAGGTCATGCAGAGATAAAGCAGAGGTCTAAGCTGTAAGCCATAATTATCACAATTATAACAAATAAAGGCTGAAACACCTGGCGTTGCATGTAGTGAGTCTGTCTCATACATTAGTTTCACCTTTTAAGTTGAATTACTGACATAAATTAACTTTTGCTCCATAATTCTGATTTTTTTAAAAGTTTGACCTGTAGTTTCCACTGCAGTTAGAAATAAAACTATATTTCACTGAAAACCCGGGAATATCTGGGGAAATTACCGAGAGTGTACACAGCTGTTCTAGCTGCTAAAATCCTTCATTTTTATCATTCATATTCAGATACTAAGGCAGGGGTCCTCGATTATAATGGTCCGAGGGCCACACACAAAAAAGACCCAGAAGCAAGAGGGCCGGACCGGGGGTGGGGGGATGGGACAGGGTGCTGCTGCTGCGGTTTGGATCGCTGGCTGCACATAACACACACGCTTGCAATATAAAGAAGGACAACACCTGTCCCCCTCCAGCTCAGCTGTGTGACTCCAGTTCCTGTCAAATGTCACATCTACCCCTTAGTACAGTGGTCCGCAAATGGTGGCCCGCGGGCCACATCCGGCCCGCGAGCCCTCTCTTTGTGGCCCCCAAACCCCCGAAATAATCAATGCATGAGATGCGGGCATAAACGATTTTGCATCATAGAAGAGCATCATAATCAATTATAGTGGAATGTGGTTCTGTTATGTTAACGGCGGCACCAGCACAGCGTCCACATCTGTCAGAGCGGTGTTCTCCACATTTACCGGGTAGGAAACTTTGGTCCGCCTTAATGTGGTTCTGTAGGGCTGAGTTCTGGAGTTGTAACCTGAGACCGAGCCCGAACCAAATCAGTCCGATCGGTTCTGTTGGATTTGGGCCGTAAATTAATTAATTAATTAATGTTAATTGAGCGGGTTGTCGCGCGGCGCGCTCTGCTCGCTCGATCAGTGACAGAGAGAGAGAGAGAGGATCGGAGGACGTTCCTCCAAACGCGTGTTATTATTTTCATAATTTCATTATTGTTTCTCCTGGAAGCGCTCAGTCAGGCCGAGTGTTGGGATGTCGGGAGATCCGGTCTTCGGGAGGGGGCGGGGTCAGTGACGGCGGCTGCAGCGTGACCGGTCTCCTTTATTTAGGGACACAGAGAAGTTAAAAGGAGAGAGAAATAGAAGATATAAGTTCTTGTTCCACTTTATTCTTTTGTTTCATGATGATGAACTGATGTTAAATTCAGCTTAAAGAGAAACTGGGAGGAAGTTTTGGTTCATTTTAAGATACAGGAGGTCTTGTCTCCTATCTGCTCCTCCAGAGACAGCATGGACATGAGGGTGAAATGGACTTTTCACATCTGACTTGGATTGCTCTAATGCTTTACTTTCCTAGAACAGGAGAAAGACAACTCAGAGTGCTGAAGATAGTTCCAACATGCCAGCATCTTCTTTAACAGAACACATTTCTTCACAAGCAGGCTGACTGGCAGCTCTTCATCTGTAGGAGAACGTGTTTCCTCCAGACAGAAAACACCACGAACCCAGCTACTGTCTCTGCACCCCTGACCACTGCCATGACACAGAGCACTCTCCCATCGGTTGGCTCTCTGTGAGGAGGAAGTGGGGATTTTCTGGGGAAAATGTGCTTGTTCAGGTTCTGCTCATATTGACAGCAACATTGGTTCCACATTTGCTGTGTGCCCGATTAATGTCAAGATTTTTATCAACAACATAACTCATCTATTCATGGAACAATGTATTCTTTAAAATATATATGTAGCGTCACGAAGGTCCTCTAATTTGTGACAAAGGTCACATTTTCCCAGCTAGGTCAAGCTGGGTCGACTGTAACTTTGCCCCACAGATTAAACAAGCGAGAAGCCATGATGTCTGCTGAATATATCACCCTTATCTGCTGCTGTTCCGTTCCAGAAGAAGGACACTTCAAGTTTCACAATAATAATTTTAAATAATAATTTTAATAAACTCTTTGACTTTATTACAGTTAATTATAATCATCATAATTAATCTCTTGGTTCAGTAAATGTATTTTAATTACTGAAATGTCTTATTATGCTTTGGGTATAATAATGATTATTGTGATAAAATCGGTTATGTGTGTTCAGTAAACCAGAAGGTCAACTTCCACTTTATCCATCCAACACAGAGCTTATCCAGAGTAAAGGTAAACTGCCATCACATACTCATGACCAAAGCTTTCTTGCTCGGAGAGTGGGCGTGTTCTGAGGGGTTTGTTAAAACTAACTTTCCAGCAGCTTTAACTTCAGTTCGTGAACCAACCACCATCACAGGAGACGAGGGAACGGCCGCCCGCATCTCCACCTGCTGTTCTGTCACGCTGATAGAATAGCTTTGAATAAACGCACGATAACCAGCCGACGCAAAACTCCTTCAGAGTTATTGATTTTGAGACGCAAATAGTTTCATCAGTCGTGTGACCCACGGAGACATCCTAAGACTGATTTGGTCGCATTGAGGTCCTTCTACCAGCCTCGTGCCCGGAGGAAATCATCTCCACCTGACATCTCGGATCCAGAAGGGGGTCTCCTGAAACTGGGTGAGGTAGACACTTTCGACAGATGACGTCTGATGCTGTTTCTCTAAGTAACAACAGTTAGCTGCAAAACCACCATTTCACCCAGAACGAGTTCCTCTCTCTGAAAGAAACCTTCTGAGAATTCATTCACACATCCAAGCTCTCATTTCATTTTAGCTTTCCACAGGTCACAGGTTTGCCTTTAAAACAAGTTTTAATATCAAAGCTGGTAAATTGTCATCCATGAATTGTCAATTTTAATTGTCATTTAAATTGTCGTTTCAAATTGTCAAGTTTAAAATTGTTAGTAATAAATTCTTCAATTTTTAAACTGCCTAATCTTTGAAACGAAACACAGAACGGTAAAAATATTTCTGGTTATTGAAAAAGCAAAGATTCCAAACTTCTGATTCAAAAACAAACTTTTGCTATTAAAGTGAATTATCTTAAATTAAACATTAATTTTTGGATTAAATATAGACCAAACAGTGTGTTGCAGTCCCACAATAGATGTTAACACGATGTTATAGTTATTCTATATTTTGTGTACATGCGGCGTAATCCATCTCATGTCTACGATGACAGTGTGCTTCATGTGTAGATGCTGTAAGAAGCAGCGGTCCTTCATCACTTGTTCCTGCATCTACAGAGAACAGAGCTGCTGTGGGCAGGACCACATCAGCAACACCTGATTTTATTTTCCTCTGAGATGATGGAAGAAGTTTCCACCATAACTGTAGCAGGGCCTCAACAAATAGTGTTTAAAATAAGGAGCTTGGTGAGATGCTAAAAAAAAAAAAACAGACCACGCCCCAACTTTTTTTGTTGTTGTTTTTGTTGCTAACTTTTTTCTGCAAAACAAAACTTTAACACTTAAAGGATTGAGTTACTTGGAAAATGTAAGTGCTGCTTTGACCAGGCGTGAAAATAGTTCAACACATCAACAGGATCTGCTTAACTCGTTCACTGCCAATGACGATTTAAGTCGTCATTTGCATTTTTTATTGTGTGGGCGTCGGAACGAGCCCCCACACCATGAGAGCAAACGTCCCAGCTCTAAAGCCGATCTTCATCCGCGTAAGTCACGTGTCACGTGATCAGGAAGCAGAAAATCCACGTGTTAGGCGATCGTTTTGGGCCGTTGCTATAAAACAATTGAGGCGCGAACCAGAAAAGCTTCTGCTGATAACAATTCAACAACGGATTATGAAAGAACATATAAAGCTCGAAACGCGTAGATTTTTCTTGATGTAAGAGGCGAGTCTCCGCTTTGTTTTGGTGGCGACATCATCCTAGCGCGCAACCTTCTGTGACTCTTAAAAAACAGTAAAAACGATGAAAAACGCTGGCAGCGAATGGCTTTACTGATCAGGAAACGGCTGGCAGTGAATGAGTTAAAGAAATGTGCTCATGTTGTTGGGGGGGGGGGGGGGGGTAATGCCTGAGCTTGCCTAGGGCACCAAATAGTCTAGGACCGCCCCTGGTCATAGGAACCATCTGAGGATCTCTCGTTTCTCAGGATGCGAATTTTCCTGTCTCACCTCGGCAAGCGTGTCCATCTCCCCCTTTCCAAACCAGTCAGGTTCGTACATGTCAGCTAGACAGTCCTGCAGCCGCCGTGATGCGTCGTGCATCGCTGCAAAACACATGAAATACCCACAGAAAGGATCACTCTACAGATCCACAGAAAGGTGAAGTTGCGACTCGTAGATCTGGTCCTATGCAGACGTACCTTTGACTGCTGCCAGGTAGGCCTTCAGGTCCTTCTGCAATTTGGTTCCTTCAGCCTGAAACATTAAATACAGCAAGTGAGGAAGACGAGCAGCCATCACGTCCCTTTACAGACAGCTGGTGAAGGTAAACACTGCTGACCATCTGCTTGTTGAAGTTGGACACAAGCTCCTCAAAGGCAGTATCCCGTGTCTCATCTGCTTTACCCAGCTTCTGTAAGACCTGCAGGAGGAGAGGAGCACCTGTCTGTTATCTACCTGTCCATCCATGGCTTCAGAGGGATTCGGCTGATTTAAACCAAGACACGAGGTCTGAGAGGAGGGAGAACATGTCAGAGACCTTCAGACCAGACCTGATCTGTCCAGGTTCAGATGCATGGTTAGGGTTAGGCAGACATGACGGAGGTGAAATGTGAGGACATTTCTGCTGGAGTCAGGTGAGACAACTTATACAGTATATTCATCCATCCACCATTTATTATCCGTCTATCCATTCTTTCATCCCCTCTGCAGTAAGAGTATAACTCAGTTTGAGCTGTATTATCATGTTGCACAATAACTTCAATGCAATGTTCAGTATGTGTTCAATACCAGATGTACGTAGCATGTCCGTGTTTCTTGCAGTATGCTGCGTAGTGTCGGAACTCAAGTTTTTTTCTCTTTTATTCGTGGTTTTTAGTGATCGGAGGTTACAATACTTGATTACTGCCTATGTGTATAAATACATGTGCCTTTGTTAGTATTTATTAGGCCCGAGCAGCGAAAGCGCTGCGAAGGCCTCTTGTTTTTGCTCTGATTAGGCCCGAGCAGCGAAAGCGCTGCGAAGGCCTCTTGTTTTTGCTCTGTTTATTAGGCCCGAGCAGTGAAGCTGCGAAGGCCTATTGTATCTGCTCCGTTTATTATTACGCTTTCTTTCTTTTTTCTTCCGCGTCTTTGACTGGCCTTTAGGGGGTCTTAGCATATCCAAAAAGTCACCAAATTCTGGCCCAATATTGAAAGTGCGTGAAATTTACGTATTTCACTGGCAATGTGAAAGTTCATAAAAGAATGGCTGAACAGCGCCCCCTAGAAAGTGAAAAATACCCCTCTCCATAAAGCTTAGTTTATCGTACAGTTATGAAATTTGGTACACTTGTAGAACTCAACAATACGCACAGAAAAGCCTCTTGCATCCATGGTCAATATCAAACAGGAAGTCGGCCATTTTGGACTAAAGTGGCCATTTTGACCCTGTTTCGGCCATTTCTTGGGTCTATATTTGGTTGAACAGTTTGGTCATTTTTCGCACGATCGTCTCAAAAATAGTGTGCGATCGAACAGAAGCGACGGACGATTAAAATGAGACAATAAAATTGACTTTTCGTAAATACTGAAGGGGCGGGACCAGGCCTCAAAGTTCGAGCACTCGCCAAAAAAATTCAAATTGCTATAATTTCATAAATGAAAGAATTACAGTTAAAGTAACTTTCTATGGACAATCATCATCGCCCCCCGAAGACAAATGAATGGTCAATTGATGATGTCACATAAGCCCCGCCCCTTCAGGACTTAAAAGGTCAAGTTTTACTGGGAAATTTTCCAAAATTTGCCCTTTCAAATAATCATCCCAAATTTGTATCAGGTAACTGAAGACAAGTTGGGGTTGCTTGGCGTCACTTTATGGGAGTTTTCTGCAGAAGGCGGGGCTGTGGCGGCGCGGCGAACTCAGGCGTACCACTTAGGCCTTACGTTTGCCTCCCATTTCGTCATTTCTAGAGATATCGCCACGAAACTTCTTGTGAGTGATGCTAGTCCGGCCCCCCAAAAAATCTGATGTGACATTCCGGTGGGCGTGGTCTATTTGCTGAAATAGCGCCCCCTAGGACCATTAAAACTGACAGCCCCAAGCCATGCTTTGACTGAGGATTACGAAATGTGGTACACTAATGTGGTGTCTCAGGACCTACAAAAAAGTCTCTTGGAGCCAAGTGCAAAGTCGCACAGGAAGTCGGCCATTTTGGTCCAAGTGCGTGATTTAGTGGTTTTCGCACACGTTGTTTGGAGAGTGATGCTCCGTCGCCCTTTTCACCAATCGCCTTCACACTTCTGCTATATACTCTTAAGACATAGATGAAAAAATTCAACCGTCGGATTTTAAATAAGTATAAAGGTGTGGGCGTGGCTAAGCCTCAAACTCTGACTTGTCGCCACGCCACTCTTTTTTTCACAGCTCCCTATTGGACTCCTTTTATCCAATCACCACCAAACAGTGGCAAATAGCAGCAGACAAGTTGAGGTCACTAGGTCTATAGTACTGGCAGGTTTCGAATAAAGGCGGGGCTTTGGGAGCATGGCGAAATTCGCCATCACGCCATGGAAATACGTTTGTCTCTCATTTCTTCAATCATTGTGACATTGCCACACAATTTCTGATGAGTGATCCTACTCTGACCCCTAATATAATTGGACAGCTGAAGTTTGTGGGCGTGGCCTATTTTCCAAAACAGTGCCCCCTAGGACCATTAAAACAGTCAGCCCCAAGCCATGCTTTGACTGAGGATCACAAAATTTGGCACACTAATGTAGTGTCTCAGGACCTACAAAAAAGTCTCTTGGAGCCAAGCGCAATGTCGCACAGGAGGTCGGCCATTTTGGTGCAATTACTCAATTTAGTGGTTTTCGCACACGTTATAAGGAGAATGATATCTCCTCGCCCTTTCCACCGATCACCTTCAAACTCCTGCTATATACTCTTAAGACATAGAGGAAAAAATTCAACCGTCGGATTTTAAATAAGTATAAAGGTATGGGCGTGGCTAAGCCTCAAACTTTGACCAGTCGCCATTACTTTATTTGACTTAATAACTCCCATGTGCATGATCAGATCAATTTCATACTTTGTCTGTGTGATCACTGACCACATCTGAAGACAGTGACAATGTGGACAGCTGACATCACCTAAGCCCCGCCCCCTGACTAAAGGAAGTCTATTGTTTTATGGTGAACTGCCCATATTTGTCCCCTCTAATTTAGTCAAGATGACACTAAGGTCATGCACTGTCTTCATGATGTTGTAATGACCATTCAGATCTGATAGCTTTTCAGAAAGTGAGGGGCTTTGATGCCATGGCGATTTCTGGCGTGACGCTGTGACCTTACGTTTGACTGTAACTTCCACAAACAGCCTCCGATTTGCCCGAGACTGAACATCACATCACCAGTGTGGTAAAGATAGAGTATCTCCTAGGGGTGAGACATGTAATGGTGGGCTCAGAAGGGATGCTGAGTCAGGGTGAGGTGTGGACGAGGAGGCCTTTCACGGTTTCCGGTGTTGGGGTGGCTGACTTTCTGTTCCGACAGGCATGCCCTGATGCCCTCGGCTGCCGGCCAGGATGGAGAAGCGCGGAGCCGGGTTTGGAGAGCGTCGGGGATGGAGCGGAGGGGGTGCTGAAGGAGGGCGAGCAGCTTCGCTGCGAGGGCCGAACGACGCTGCTTGCAGCTTTAATTTTTATTTATTATTCTTAGCCCGCTTTGAATGGCTTTTTGGGGACCTTATCATACCCCAAAACTCACAATATTTTGCAAAGATGTCAGGCCTGGTGAAAAATTTGATATTTTAATGGTCCCAAAAAAATTGCAAAGAAAATGGCTGAACAGCGCCCCCTAGAAAGTGAAAAAAACCCTTCTCCATAAAGCTTAGTTTATCGTACAATTATGAAATTTGGTACACTTGTAGTACTCACCAGTCCGCACAGAAAAGTCTCTTGCAAGCATGGTCAATATCAAACAGGAAGTCGGCCATTTTTGGTTGAAATGGCGATTTTTAGCCGTTTTTGCCGTTTTTAGGGTCCGTTTCTGATTGGATTGCTCGATAAATTTTCGCACCATCATCTCAAAAATTGTGTCAAATTGCTCAGAAGGGATGGCCGAACAAAATGAGATGAGGATTCTGAGTTTTCGTATATGTTGAAGGGGCGGGGCCAGGCCTCAAAATTTGACTACTCGCCAAAAAAATTTAAATTGCTATAACTTCATAACTGAATAAAATAGAGTTACAAAACTTTCTGTGGTCATTCGTCATCCACCCACAAAGTAAATTGAATGGTCGGATGATGACATCACTCAAGCCCCGCCCCCTCAGGACCAAAAAGATCAAGTTTTACTGTGAAAGGTCCCAAATTGCCCCATTTCACTTAATCACCACGAATTTGTAGCTGGTAACTCAAGACAAGTGGGGGTTGCTTGGCGTCACTTTATGGGAGTTTTCGGCAGAGGGCGGGGCTGTGGCGGCGCGGCGAAGTCAGGCGTACCGCCGTGGCCTTACGTTTGCCTCCCATTTCGTCATTTCTAAAGATATCGTCACGAAACTTCTTGTGAGTGATCCTAGTCTGGCCCCCCAAAAGATCTGATGTGAACATCCGGTGGGCGTGGCCTATTTTCTGAAATAGCGCCCCCTAGGACGATTAAAACTGTCAGCCCCAAGCCATGCTTTGACTGAGGATTACGAAATTTGGTACACTAATGTGGTGTCTAAGGACCTACAAAAAAGTCTCTTGGAGCCAAGTGCAAAGTCGCACAGGAAGTCGGCCATTTTGGTCCAAGTGTGCGATTTAGTGGTTTTCACACACGTTGTTTGGAGAGTGATGCTCCGTCGCCCTTTTCACCAATCGCCTTCAAACTTCTGCTATATACTCTTAAGACATAGAGGAAAAAATTCAACCGTCGGATTTTAAATAAGTATAAAGGTGTGGGCGTGGCTAAGCCTCAAACATTGACCTTTCGCCACGCCACTCTTTTTTTCACAGCTCCCTATTGGACCCATTTTACCCAATCACCAGTAATCTCTGGTAAATAGCAGCAGACAAGTTGAGGTCACTTGGTCTCCAGTACTGGAAGGTTTTGAGAAAAGGCGGGGCTTTGGGAGCATGGCGAAATTCGCCATCACGCCATGGAGATACGTTTGCCTCTCATTTCTTCATTTATCGTGATATCACCTCGAAACTTGTTGTGAGTGATCCTAGTCGAACCCCCAATAGAAATGGATGGCTGAAGTTTGTGGGCGTGGCCTATTTTCTGAAATAGCGCCCCCTATGACCATTAAAACTGTCAGCCCCAAGCCATGCTTTGACTGAGGATTGCAAAATTTGGTACACTAATGTGGTGTCTCAGGACCTACAAAAAAGTCTCTGGGAGCCAAGTGCAAAGTCACACAGGAAGTCGGCCATTTTGGTCCAAGTTCTTGAT